ATTTGTCACTGTAACCAGTGCCTTTTCAAAAAAACAATTTTTGTAAAGGTAACTGTTCATTTGATGCTTCGAAAAGGATTCAATGTATTAACGTAAAGGTTGACCGTTACCACAGCCTTCCTTCTCTTGGTATACGTTTCAATAAGGGAAGAAAATCAGTTCTGCATTGTAGCAATATTCAAGCTGAAAATGGCTTAATTTAGGTGCCGCTAAATGTTGAAACTTGGGACAAGGAAGGGATCAACTAGGTGAAGGAAAAGAAACATAGCCAATGAATTCCCCTACACAATGAAACGCGTCCTTTATTTACGTATAGCGGATAGTCTTTTGCCAATTTTATTGCTCTAGTTGGAATTAGAATTACTTAGACGTCAATTCTACCAACCGACCACTAAAAGTAAAGATTAGTCATTTATAAGTGTGATTCTCGTAAGCATTACCATAATATTTGTTTGAAGATGGACGTCCGCTTTAGCAGCGGTCGCGACCATTATCAAGGCAAATGAGAAAATGGATGCGTTGAGGTATTTACTAGGACATGGTAGAGTTTAAAAACCAGGTGCATGTATGGAAAGATGAATGGCCACTGACTACTGAAAACTAACTAAAACTAACATTGATTAGAAGCGGCATAACAAGCACTGGATAGAGACACAGCCAGTTATTTCACTCAAATTAATGTAATTCTGTAAAGTGATCTTTTTCTGACCATGAGAGGGTTGAACCACTGGCGACGTGAGAATGAATATGATTATATTGACGAATGTTTCGGGTCGCAACTGCTCTGTCCAGACGCCGGGTTAACGACATTCGTTCGACGATATCAAGATATATTTTGATGGTCTATTTTTCTGCTCCAAAATCTCTTGGCTTTGTCCAGCTTTATTTACTACAATCTGAACCACGCCACCTTGTAGTATTGCTTGATCAAATTTTCTTTGCATCATGCTCTGTCTCGACAATCGGAGTATTAACAGTGGTGCATGCTTAATGCTCTAACAGATAATTCTATAAAGGTAATTTTTAGTGAGAAATGTCAATGCATACAACGCTAATAGAAAAAGCAGATGAAACCAGTTCCATGACATCTGCGAGTCATCCTTGGTGAGTATTCCTGCTGCCACAGCCACTTTTAAAAAGATGACTTTGGTTTTACGGCGAAGTGAGATCGTGGAATGAACACAGCCAAGCTGTGAGAAAAAAGAATTTTAAGGGCAACATTAAAGGCATCTAAGGGTTTCGCTTTTTACACATTTACCCTTGAGAATCGAGCGTACTGTTTTCAGTTTAAGAGGCACCGGCATTTTTTAGCTGTGAGCCATGCATAAGTCTCTGGACATGCAAGGTAACGTGTTTCTGCGAAGGACTTAAATAATCTATTTAAGTGAAGAGGGTAAGTTTGTGAAACAGCGCAATTAAGCATTAGGGGCAATTTTCGAAATAAGTGTCCTAAGAGAACGTGGGTAGTCTAAACCCAGAAAAGTCGACCAAAGATATGAATACATGTTGTAGCCCATTAAAAGTTTGGACCGATGAAGGACTACCAGGACCACAAACTATTTGTACTGGGGTATTCAAACTCTCTCGGTCTAGTCGGTGCAGCTAATGGCAGAAGTCATTGAATGAAAGGCTAAGCAGCACATTATGCGAGGCTTTTCATAGGAACGGTGCAGCAGTAAGCCACTGGCGGAATGGTGGGTTGGGAAATATGGCGCGTCGCCTTAAATATGTGAAGTCACATCGAATTTGGAGTTTCAT